ATTCTATCTCTATAGTTCTGCTGCTATAGGCTTAGACTGCTGGAGGACATAGGGACCCCTTTTTCATCATTCTGCTTCATTCTATCAGCACACCTGATCGCAGCAAAGCTGAACTGCGATCATCTGAATCAGGTGTGCTGACGCTCAGAAACATCCAGAACATGCAGAGCAGGTGACTTGAGGACCAGGCTTGAAAAACAGTGTTCTAGAACAAGGCAGCCGTCCCCATTCAGAGCCAGAGAACGGTTCTGTACCTCTCCGTAATGCCTCTCCTCAGACGGGTAGCTGACATAAGGGGAGTAGGACAGCATGTCAGGCCTGTCGATGTTGTAGATAGCCTTGGTCTTTGGAAGAGCTGCCAGGTCCTTGTAGTCCAGCATCTCCTCTCCCAGTTTGGCCTGGTACCAGAACACAAGTAGAATAGATAAATAGGGAGCTTTTCCTGTTTCTTAGAACTTGAGGAGCCAGAGGAGGCGTACATAGATGACTCTGCTGGGCGAGCCAGAAGCACTGGATGCAGGAACTGAAGTGATGCTCTCAGAGGAGGTCCGAGTTACCTGAAACACAAACCACCACGTGTTAAACCGAGCACAGGTCCAACGGTTCCCTTCAGAACTCCAACGGCTACTAAACCATCCCCCCTTTAGGCTTCCACATCCAAAAGCACACGGCTGGAGCCCAAACGGTTAGTCTGGATTAGAGGAACCCGTCTGCATTAGAGGAACCCATTCTGGATTAGAGGAACCCATCTGGATTAGAGGAACCCGTCTTGATTAGAGGAACCCGTTCTGGATTAGAGGAATCTGTTCAGGTTTAGAGGAAGCTGTTCAGGTTTAGAGGAACAGGTTCTGGATTAGAGGAACCCGTTCTGGATTAGAGGAACCCGTCTGGATTAGAGGAACCCATTCTGGATTAGAGGAACCCATTCTGGATTAGAGGAACCCGTCTGGATTAGAGGAACCCGTCTGGATTAGAGGAACCCGTTCTGGATTAGAGGAAGCTGTTCAGGTTTAGAGGAACAGGTTCTGGATTAGAGGAACCCGTTCTGGATTAGAGAAATCCGTTCAGGTTTACAGGAACAGGTTCTGGATTAGAGGAACCCGTTCTGGATTAGAGGAATCCGTTCAGGTTTACAGGAACAGGTTCTGGATTAGAGGAACCCGTTCT